TCAAACGCATCTCTAACCATATATTGTGCACAAGGAAGTAGCTATATTCAGTTCCTGTCCTCTGTGGATTCATCACAACTAAAAACAGAGTTGTTACTGGCTCTTTTAGAAAACTTTAAGTTTGATATCATCAACAATATATCAATTTGACACTGGACTATAGAACAGAATAGAAAAATATCCCAATATTTTATCTCCAATAATTCTTGGAAGTATCCCAAATGCAAGACTGAGGAGACTATCTCCATTGAAGGAACTTTTTTAAAAATTATTCTTTGTGATTAAATGAGCTATTTCATGTAACAGTTTCCCTTTTGTGCATTTCTTTTTTTTTAACATTTTAACATTTTTTATTGATTTATAATCATTTTAAATGTTGTGTCAAATTCCAGTGTTCAGCACAATTTTTCAGTCATTCATGGACATATACACACTCATTGTCCCTTTTGTGCATTTCTAATCCAATATCTTATGTTATAGGGAAATCCAATTTGTAGAAAAACCCATTGTCTTTTTAATTAGGTCAAGAGGATTTTACCTCAATGTTATTCAATTTGAGAGACTCTTAAGGCATACTTGCTCTTCATTTTTAAACTACTGATGCTAAGGAAGCTGGGCTTCTCTTTTGCAACATGTAAGAATCCATATGTATTAGTTATCTATTGCTGCATAACAACAACAACAACAAAACAGTTCTAATTTTTTTGCCCATGTACATCTTGTGATCTTTTTGCTTGGTGACTTTCAGGACTTTTCTTTATGTTTAAAGTCTAATAGTTACATTAGAATATGTCATAGAGTTGACCCTTATGAGTGAATTTTCTCAGGTACTTAATAGTCCCTTACAATATGTGGATCCTGATCTTTTATTTCCAGAATATCTTCTTTTTTTCCCTCATTATTTTCTTTTTTTAATTAAAGTATAGTCAGGTACAGTGTGTCAATTTCTGGTGTACAGTACAATGTCCCAGTAATGCATGTACGTACATTTATTTGTTTTCATATTCTTTTTCCTTAAAAGTTATTACCAGATTTTGAATATAGTTCCCTGTGCTATACAGAAGAAATCTGGTTTTTTTATATATAGTGGCTAACATTTGCAAATCTCAGACTCCCAAATTTATCCCTTCCCACCCCCTTTCCCCTAGTACCATAAGATTGTTTTCTATGTCTGTAAGTCTGTTTCTGTTTTATAGATGAGTTCATTAGTGTTCTCTTTTTTTTTTTTTTTAGATTCCACATATGAGTGATATCATACATTTTTCTTTCTCTTTCTGGTTTACTCCGCTTAGAATAGTGATGTTTAGGTCCATCCATGTTGCTGCAAATGGCATTATTTTATCCTTTTTATGGTTGAATAGTATTCCATTGTATAAATGTACCAAACGTCTTTATCCAGTCTTGAATTATCCTCTTCAGTGACTCCAATTATATATATTGTTTCTTCTTTGTCTTTCTGTCTATCATTTCAACTACTTTCTCCTTGATCCTTTTTGCTTCTTTATATTGTTTTCATTCTCTTGGTCATTTTCCTGCCTTTCTTCAATTTCCTTAATTACAATTTCATTTTAGTCTATTCTTTCTTGGGCACCTTCTCTAATTCAAGGATGTCCCTTTATGTCCATGTATCACTGAAGAATATCTTTAAAAGATGGCTTTTATTTTTTGAGATTGCAGAAGGAATTGTGTGTACTCTGATCATTTGACTCTCTCTTATTTGAAAGACTCTAAAATGTCGCCTTTTCTTCTTTTCCCCATTATTGTCGAATCTCCAAAAACCATCTCTCCCAACCTTTTTACAGTGCCTTTTGAAAACAGCTACCTGAAATAGCATACAGTTTTACATTCCTTCCTTATAGCAGGTGCTCTGGGGTACCAGGGTGCTTTTTCAGTATTTTCTCAACTCAGAGTAGACTTATCTTTCTGGGAGTGATTTTAGATCAAGCATAGACCTGCCACTATCTACCCTCTTTACTCTTCCATGTAGCATTTCCCCTACTGCCCTGGTTCTCCATGAATGCTAGTGGGCAAGACATGAGAAATAATTTTCTGGCACTTGTTGTTTTTTTCTTTATCTACTTGTGGGTAAATCTGAAATTTGTGCATTCTCTTCCTTCTGGTTATGCTGAAGACATAGATTTTGTGTGGTTTTATTTATACTTCTTGTTGTTCTCTATTGTTTTTGAGAGATTCCGGTTTTTGTTTTTTGTTTTTTGGGGTTTTTTTTGGCCATCATCTTAGCTACCCTTAAGGCTAATTTAGAAAGATTTCTTAGTATATCTTTTAACCAGAAAGATTTCATTAAGCCTTACTTCTTGTAGTTTTCTCTGAGTACGTTAGCTATTTTGTGTTTTCCAGACATAAAATTATGTGATAATAGTGAATATATTTTCAAATTACATGCCCTTCAACCCATAGATTCTAATAATGCTCTCTCCTAGGAGGCATCCTTCACTCTCCACACTCCTTGTCTTCTGAGAAGCTCTATTCCAGCTATTACATAAATTTATATAACGTGGAATCTGTAGGTAATATGTTACAGGGACCCTGAAGTAACCAACAAGGAAACTGCTCAGAATGACATGTCCTAGATCCAAAGGATTTCATAAACTTTCCCTGACTTTAGGCAGGGAAAATATGACACTCTGTAAATGTAGGAAAAGGGATGGTTCAGATCAAATTCACGCCTGCTCTTCCCAGCACCCGAGGGTATGAGCATCTTGACACAACTGTTTAGATATTGTTATGAGAGAAATAAAAGCAGAGGTGATTTTAAAAATTGAAAGTGGTAAGAAAATGATGACTATTTCACCTTGGATATATGTATGGGATAAGTCAAAAAATAGCATATATATCTTTTGTTCTCATATACTATAACTTTACATCAGTGAATACACATTAATAACTGGTAGGTCACTTTAGACTTAGCAACAAATAGATTCATGAGCAGTTTTGCAAAATTCAACCTCTTTGTTGATGGAGGAGCTTCAGAATGCTGTTCAGTCTGTGAGAATTGTTTCCATTTTTCAACCATCTATTTCTATACTTTTTCTTATGATCTCTTATCATAAAAGGTGTTTTTCAAATGCTACAGAAGAGATCAAAAGGATTTTTGGAACACTGGGCTACAGGTCAAGCCCACAGACTATCTGGCAAAGTCCTGTCATACAACTGTTTCAGACACACTTCATTTGGCTTATACTGTCTGTCTACCACGGAACCAAACCTAATGAACCATACCTTTGACTCCTCTTCAACCAGAACTAACAATTAGTTATTGGAATTGACGGTTATGCAAGTTAAAATCCCAGCTGACAAACACTGAGGTTTTTGTTGATGGTGATGGTGGTGGTGGTAGTGGTTGCCTTGGTTTTCTTTTGGTTTATTTTTGCCTTTGAAATTTAAAAACATAGTTATGGACCTGGACTTAATGATCCTCAGGTATGAGGTGTCCCCTGGGACCTTGTGCCCACACTGTTACTCTGTCTTCCCATGATGGTTATTACATTATAGGTTATTACAAGATACTGAATATGTTTCCTTGTGCTATACAGTAGGTTCTTGTTGTTTATCTATTCTCTATATAGTAGTATGTATATGTTAATCCCAAACCCTAATTTATCACCCCCCTACTCCTTTCCCCTTTGGTAACCATAGTTTGTTTTCTATGTTTGTGAGTCTATTTCCAGTGACCTGCTTTTTAAAGTAATGGTTATGGATATTATTCATTTTATTATTGTGAACATCTTTACATATCTATACATATAAACCTACCTCATTCATTATAGGGCCAAGTAGTATTCCATTAAGTAAGTACACATATTTTATTTATATAATCTGCTCTGATTGGATATGTAAGATATTTCCAAGTCCTTCTAAAACGACAGTGACAATTCTATTGCATATGTGCATTTGTGTGCACTTCTGTTAGCATTCTCTAGAATATGTGAATATCTCTTCCTTCACTATTTAGTGTAATAAACAGATTAGAACCTTTTTGCATACATCTCTGTGCAAAAGTGTAGTATTTCTAAGAATATAGCCTTTGAAGCAGAATTGCTGGGTCAAAGGGGATGAATATTTTTTTAAATTTTACTGCTAAATTGCCTCCTAAAGATCTTACCAATTTATATACTCTCACCAGTGAGCACTCAGATTGAAAAAAAAAAACAGAAACAAAAAAAACAAGAATTACTGAGTCAACTTTTTTTCAGGCCCTTTCTACAAATTGGCAAATTGCCTTCCAGAAAGCTTCTACCATTTTACACTCTATCAGCAATAAATGAAAACACTCATTTAATGCCCTAGCCAACACTAAGTATTATTAACTTTAAATTCTAACCAAGTTTAATGTGTAAGCAATTATAAATCATAATTTTAGTTCATTTTTATCATAAAGGAAAAACAGAACAGACTTTGTTTCTTTCAAAATTTTAATTAAGCCTCTCTCATATTCCAGGCATTCTTCTGGGGGCTAAAGATGGGACAGTAAACAAGACAAGCCCAACTGCTGTCATGTACCTAACGGAGAGGTACATTTAACACATAATGAACAAATTTCCAATTGTTAGTTCTATAATAAGCACTTAGTAGCACTTAGTGTTTATCAGCCCCTTCTAAAGTAAAGCACTAAGAACTTGTTTGATCCTCACAACAATTCTCTGGGGTAGGTACTATCATTACCCCCATTTTACAGATGAGGAAACTGAGTCACCAAGCGGTCAAGTAATTTGCCCAAGGTCATACAACAAAGTAGCAAAGGCAAAATTCAGACCCAGACAGCCCAGCTTCACTGCCCTTAACCACTACCATACTGCCATCCCTCTCCTCTGTTGAAGGGCAGAGTACAGGCTGTGCTGAGACACTGAAAAGAATGGAAAGAAGATAGAGGAAAACAGAAAAATTAAAATATGGGATTCAAGTAAAGGGTCAGAAATGGAAGTTCATTTTGATCAGGGGTATTACCATGAGGTATTGAACTGTATCTTTCCTTTTTTCAGAGGAGTCAGTGCAAATGACACGTGGCAAAAACCAGCAGATCACACACTCATCAGACAATAAACCTGGAACAGTCTAAATGCAGAGGAAAGGAATGGTCTAAATTCTCCTGCTATGAGGTAGCAGAGGAGGGAAGAAGGAAGCTGCCTCTGCCTTCCTAGACCTCCAGGAATGGAAAATATAAAGGGCTCAATCCTAGCAGCATTTGAATCTGAACAGATGAAGAGAAAACAGAAACGTACTTTTCCTGGGCTTCTGGCCAAGTGATCTCCCTCTCAGCTTAGCCTGAGGCTACCGCCCCCGCTGGCAGGACCTGCGGTTTTGCAGACCTTGGGGTGACACTCGCGTGGGCTGCAGCGCCATCTAGCAGATGTGATGGTGAAATGGCACCAGAACCACTCGGATACTCTGGAGTCCTTCGAAAGACAAGTACCCACACGGTGCTAAGTGCTGGGGTTGCCGTGTTGAACAAACAGGACTCTGCCCTTGAGAAGGCCACCGTCCATCTGGGGAGACCATGGCATGTTTTTGAGCAGAGATGTGTGCAAGTGTTTAGAGAACCGGGGGTAAAGAACCTAACCTTCTCGGGGGTTCAGGGAATGCTACACAGAGGAAGCAATATTCAAACCAGCTCTCAAAAGATGAGGGATTATTTGTCAAGTGATAGAAGATAAAAGAAACTTCCAGGCAATGCGACCAGAGGGTCAAAGGCCCAGAGATGTGAAAGAGTTTAGTGCATTCAGGGAAGTTTGAAACATTCAAAAGGCAAACCAATGGCAACTTTACAGACCAGCTCATTCCTTGTTTTATGGATGAAATTACAGAGATTCAGGCAAGGAGGGGACCTCATACAGATTCACACCCCAAGTTAGGAGAGTCCACACTGGAAACCGCATCTTCAGACTACGGGAGAACAAGGCCTGCCACCAGCTCTCTGGACAAGGTCATGGTCACCTGGCAGGGCCCTGTGGGAAGGCTGAGCACATGGAAGTTAGACCTTGATCTCAAGAAGACCTGCTTGCAATCCACCTCCACCCACAGCTAGGTGAGTTTTGTCAAGTTACTTATTATTTTAAAGTCTCAGTTTCCTTATCTGTCAGATGGAAATCATCATAGATAGCCCTTACCTCATATGCTTGTTGTGAGACTGGAAAAAGTTAATCTGTGTTAAGTACTTGGCATGATACTCAGTATGTGCTCAATGCTCAGAAATCAGATAGTTAAGCCTACAACTTAAATACTGTCGCTCTTTGTTGTAATATTATGATATTTTTCTTCCTTGGAAACATTTATTATTAATTGATTGTTTATTAGTTATTATTTTTACTGATTCTTATGAAGTACTGAGAACTTACTGAAGGAACTGGGGCTCTTCTGTCTGGATAAGAAAAAACACAGAAGCCACAGTCCTGTTTTCAAATCTGGAAAGATTGTGCTGGAACAGAAGGAGTGGAGATCATCTGAGGGACCCCAGGGGGCAAAGCCAGGTACAGTGGTTGAGAGCTGCAGGAAGGCAGATTTTGGTTTATTGTAAAGAACGTTCCTACCTTTCAAGAGGCCCTGGGCGGAAGGTATTTACTTGTTCTTGGAAATGTTCAGTCTGAGACCAGATGACCATTGGTCAGGGCCATGCTCCACCTTGCAGAGAGCAGGAAGTCATCTAGTCCATTTCACTATCTGATGCCTTAAATGTCTAATTGAGCTCTGTTTTCTAGGGGAATATGATTTGGTAGGTCATCTGGGAAGACAGCTGTCTATGTTTATAAATTTCAAAGTCATGAGCAATGCTCAAAGAAGTCAGGATCCAAAATGCATAACCTTGTTTTTTAGAGTAATTCATTAGATTGTAGCTGGAAATGTGAGGAAGAGGCTAAGATGCCCGTGTCAGCCTGGAGACAAGGGGAACGGGCCAGAGGAACAGAAGGCAGCTCAGCCTTATTCCCCAAGTGCTGCCTGGGGATTGTGTCTTCATTCTGAGAAAATGGGAAGGGCTCTCACAGTCCTGATAGCCATATGGAGTGTGGAGGTATCGTCTTAAAATCATTAAATAACACAACACATCAAAAGCTCACTATTCAAACATTTATGCAAGGTCTGCTGTGTGCAAACACTTGCAGTGTAAAAGTGAATCCAAAAACCAGAGTCTAGATGAAGCTAGGAGGGGTATAGTCTAGGAAGATAATAAGATGCGGCACAGAATAACTTCAATCCGCAGTGGAAAGGCCTAGTGTTATCAGACAGACTCGTGGGGTCACATGACTCTCACAAGAGGCAGCAGCGAAGGAAGCGACGTTTGAGCTGAGCCTTCAATAAAGTGTAGGATTTGAACCCAAAATGATGGGGAGGAAGAGCTTCTCAGGGGAAACAGCAGTATGGGCAAAAATGTGGGGGTGCCTAAAAGCATGGGCTTGGGGAGTGAATAAAGCCTCATCGTGGGTGGAGCTTAGGGAGTGTAAGGGATGGTGCAGGTTATAAGATCAGAGAAGTCATCATGCAGCAGTTCCACTCCCGGATATGTACCCAAGAGAACTGAAAACATGCCTCCACATAAAAAACCTGTTCACTAATGCGCATGGTCATATTACTCACAATGGCCGAAAGATGGAAACAATCCAAATAATATGTAGTATATCCATACAATGGAATGTTATTCAGTGTTCAGCAATAAAAATGAACGAAATAGTGACACATGCTACAGCATGGATGAGCCTTGGAAATGTGCTAAATGAAAAGAGCCGGGCACAGGAAAACACGTATCGTATGATTCCATTTACATTAAAAGCCCAGTATAGGCAAATCCATAGAGATAGAAAGACTGGTGATTGCCAAGGGCCAGGGTGGGGTTAGGAATTGGTGGCTATAGGGTAGGGGTTTCTTTTGAGGATGATAAAAATGTTCTAAAATTGGTTATGGTGATGGTTCCACAGCTCCATGAATATTCTAAAAACCACTGAATTGTACCCTCTAAGTGGGTGAATTATGTGATATGTGAACTGTATGTTAATAAGGCTGTAACAAACAAACAAACCGGTCCTTTCCAGAGTCAGCATGAGAATCAGTGGGCTAGACCATGGAGACCAACTAGTCCAACATCCCCTCCATGGTACAAAAGGGGACATTAAGGCCCAGACAAGGGAAGGATTCACCCAGGGTCTCACAGTCAGTCAGTAACAGAGCTGGGATTAGAACATATGGCTCTGCCTGCTGCCTCAGTGTCCCTCCTGGAGCCTGGTGCTATTCTTGCTTTTCTACTCCTTGCAACACATCCCTCAAGCAGAATTCATAGCCATGATTGCCTGAGAGTATACCTAAAGAAACAGGGAAGAGCAGCAGAATCAGATTTGTTTCCTAGCTCAGGGTTGGAAGAAAGGACGTAAATAAGATTTCTGTCTCCTTTGTAATATTCTCACCAGTCATCCAGCAACTTTTGAACATCCTGCATAACAGGGACACTGGTACCTCCAAAATATCCTCCTCCTTCCATCTTTGAGCAGCTTTTTGGGAACAAAATTCCATCTCGCCTTACTCTCTGTGTAGGGAGAGCTAAGGATCCTACTTCAGCCAGAGCTCTGCGGGAGGCCTTAAAATGAACTGCAGTTGTATTTGCATCTCTTTCCCTCACTAGATCAAGTGTTTCTAACAACAGGGGCTGGGTCTGAGTTTATATCCCTATGTCTTGAAATACAATCAGACACAGGGAAGGCAGTGCTGAATGTTTGGTGAAGGAATGAGTGACCAAAGAGTGAAACCATAGGACTTGATGCTCTAACCAAGCCCTTCCCCTGGAGAGTTTCTCTTTCCTTGGTTTCGGTGGCATTACCCAATCTTGATTCTCTGAGCATCTCTGGGGCCCCTCCACTGCCTTCAACCCTGTCTTCTGTCCCTGAATGATAGTATTTTTCAAAGGTTAAACTTCAGATTTTCTGGTTCTTCCCACTGTTAGAGAACTCCTCTTCTCTCTCAGCTCACTTGCCACTTGGGTGAACGTGGGTGGCAATTCTGAGTACCACCAGATATCCCCACTGATCGTCCCTCATCACCACAGACGTCCAAACTGACTCATCATACCAAGAGCAGCGCCCTCCCAAGGCTTTCTTGCCTCTTATTAGTACCAAATAAAGCAGGGAAATATTTTGTTAAATTAACATACATTTTCATTCTCATTTTTATTTTAATGCACAGCCCTTCTCCCACTAAAACAAAATCGGGAGGCTAAGACATTCAGGACTTATTGCCTCACAGCAAATCTGGAATAGCTGAAATGTAAAGGGATAGCAAAGAATCAAATTCTTGTCTTTTGAAGTGGGCTTTTGAAATTTATAGCAAGAAGAGCCTTGAAACCCAAGATTCTGGTTTGGAAGAGCCAAACTTTTTCATATAGACTAGAGCTCTAAGCTCTAGAAGCATGGTTTGAGGCATAAAAAGCAGAGTTTGAGGAATTGAGACTTTAAATTACAACCATTCATGGATTTTTTTTTTCTCCCTTTAAATATCAGCTCAGCTACTCCCACATCTTCACTCCTTCCCACCTACCCTGCTCAAGGCTGAGCCCTCCCAAGTCCAGGCCTGGGATATTGTAACTACTCCTTACCCAGCACAATGGCTCTACCTCATGCTCCCTGGTCCATCTTACACAGCCTACCACAGTGGTCCTTCCAGAACCCTACCTCAGACCTTTCCATTGTCTCCTCTTTGCCCTCTAGAAACAATTTACATCAATTCAACAAATACTTACTGAACACCTGCTAGATACTAGACATTGTGCTGGATTGGGGTCAACCAGTTAAAACCCAAAAGCCAAATCAGGCCTACCGACTGTTTTTGTCAATAAAGTTTTATTGGAACACACCCCCACTCACTCATTTACCTATTGTCTTTGGAGGCTTTTGTGCTAAGAGGGCAGGGTCAAGTAGATGTGACAGAAGGAGTGTGGCCTAAAAAGCCTCAAATATTCACTACCAGGCCCTTTACAGGAAATGTTTAACTGACTCACATGCTAGATGCTGAGAATTCCGCAGTGGGTGAAATAGACATGGTCCTCTGCTGCTTACAGACCAAGGTGTTCCACTTCGTCCCCTGCCTCCCACCACCCTCTCTCCAAGTCCCCTGAGAGTACACCAGTTCCTAGATTTGGGAATCCATAGATCAATACAGACAATTTTTTAAATCACAGAGGATTGACACAGGATTATCAGACAGGTACACTTTTTAAAACCAACTACCATGTAATAAATACTACAATCATTTTATAAAAAGAATACATTTTAACATTAAAAAGCAGCAAGGATTCCTCTAAAAATAAAAAATAATTCCACAAGCTACATGAGTTTTACACAATTCATTCTATGGGCTTTACTTTCCCCATTGCTCTGAATGATGACCATTCTTCACGAATCATCACAAGTCTGTGAGCAGGCACATAGAAACCTTTGATGTAGTCTAGACAAACTGGTTTACTTGTATTACCCAAACTGGCTATGACTTTCCCTGTGCAATTTTGCATCCAGAAAGCTCTTCCTCTTTTTCCCCTGCTCATTCTTCAAAGCCCAGCTCATCAGCAGGAGGAGCCTAAGCTTCCCCCCAGCAGCAGTCTGAAGCCCCAGCTGTTCAAAGGAGCGCCCAGGCTGTGGGCGGCGCGGATGAGTGATAGGCTGGGGTTGCTGTGTCAGCCACAGAGCCAGGTGACAGGATCGCTCTTCTACTGGCACATGCAGGTAAACCCATTTGACACAGGCATGCTGACAGCTCCACGGTGAAGGTTCCCATCCAAATGCCTGAGAGGTGAACACCAGCTTCCTGACAAGTCTCTCACGTGACTCGGGTGCCCTGAGGGCCCAGGCAGCGGCCAGCTCCCAATCAGCAGGTGGTGGTGGCAGAGGCTGAGAGAGGTCGCCTTACTGGCAGGCAGCCCCAGAATACTGGGTACTTACTGCTCACATGAAGCTTCTGGAATCCCCTTATATGATCCCGAGGTCTGTGGAAAACAAATTATGACTCTACAATGAAGATAATCCCAGCAAGGCCTGGTGCCAAGCATACTTTTCT